GGGGCTTCCTCTAATCAGCCTGTGAAACACTGGGGCTCTGCCCTTTCCTTCCTGTGGAGAAGAACTGTCATTCTGGACCAGGCACCCGTGGCTGAAATGGAATTCCACCTGCAAAACTCCACAAATATCCAAGGGTTGCTTTCAGACAAAAGCTGCAAGGACAGACAGGTCTGGCTTGCCTTGGCCTCTTGTGACTGCCTCTGATCTGCCCCCAAACCCTAGGGCTCTGTGGTTTCCTTCCTGTAGAAAAGAACCGTCCTCCTTGTCCAGGCACCCATGGCCTCAAGCACATGAGCATCGTACAGGGACAGAGAAGCTCTGTGCTCAGTGGGGTGGAGACTGAGGAGAGCAGAGGAGAGGCCTGGGAAGGACTGAAGGGTGGTTTCAGAGATGGTGGATCCTTTTGACATAATAGAAAAAAGACAGAAAAAGAAAGAATTAATAAAAATGGCAGCTGGGGAGGTCCAGACTGGACATAAGGAGACAGGAATTTCCCACTCAGGGTAGGGCTGTGGTGCAACACATCCCCCAGAAGGGGTCTGGGTCAGCTCCAGGCTTTGTGTGGGCAGGCAGAGGAAGGCAAGAGGCAGAGCTGTCAGCAAAGGAAGGGCCCAGCCAGGTGGGGCAGCCGGGGGATGAGTTTTACAACATGGCTTATGTGGTCCAAGACCTGTTCCACATTGCCAAAAGATGGCTGCAGCCTTGGGAGATATTATTTGGCCAACACCATTGTCAATCACTGTAACAAGGTGACCAGGAGATATTCACATCAGACCTCTGTCATTAGTTTGGTTCCACTGAAGGACAGAAGTTTATTCTGTATTATCTTCATTTTGACAGTAAGAGCAGTGATACTGGAGTCTTCTCTAGCAGGGGACATGGTATACCATATGGAACATGTGGACCATGGTAAAAGATGCTAAATAAATAAATAAATAAAATACATTAAATTTAAAAATACATTTCTAAATAAATAAATAAAAACATTCCCAGATGTTCCAGGAGCACCTCAGCCTCATGGTCTGGGAAGAAAACTTATCACCATCAGTCAGCAGAGTGGCTCTCCAGATGGCTTTGCAGAATGGCTGGTATTACTGCCTAGTGCTACAGGGTTAATATTGGGGTGCAAGGAAGCAGCATTTTTGAATTTCACTGGACTTAATATGGAATGTTAGGGGAAGAACCAAAGAAGGAAAAGGGAGGGATCAAGGTGGTTTGGAGAGAAATAGACATAGGAAAATAGAGGAAGAATACAATAAGTGGGGTCGGTCATGCTGACAGATGCTGACAAATGCTGATCAGTGTGCTTGCAAGGCCAAGCCTGCACTGTTCCATAGTGCCCTGTTTCCTCATTAGACTCAATGTGTATTTTCTGACTGCTCTGCAGAGACAGTGGGATCTGGTGGAGTCAGATGAGAAACCTTTTTGCACTCGTGTCTGTGTGTATGAACATGTCTGTATGAGGTAGCTGAAAAGTTGAGTGTCCAAAGGCCAGCTATGGGGTGGTCCATATGGTGTTGATAAAGGGACCCTTTATCAAGGTATACCATGATAACTTATCCTTTGGGGCTCAGTAATCTAAAGATTTATAGAATGTCTGATGGATAGGCCTTAGTTACTCTTAATAACCCCTTTTATCCTCTAAAAATACAAGTGGCATCAGGTTAGTTATAATTTTACACAAGAATTTCTTTAAAAGGATGCACCATAAGGCTGCAGGACAAAGTCACTTCCCACTTGTCCTCTTCAGCTATGTTTCAAGCTTCCAGAACAATAGTTGTATTGCAAAACGCATGGATTCTAACTTGGCCCCTTCCTGGAGTGCTATGGTCATGATTTCCAATGCCTAAAATAATTCTAAATATTTTAACCTTCGAATTAGATATTACACACAGAGAAGGACATCCTTCTATTCAGAAAGGTCAGTTTCATAATAATGAAAATCACCAAAGCATAGTATAGGGACTTATGATCCTATATTTTCAGTAAAAAGGGATGAGAATTTATGTTTTGCTCTTCTGTAGCCATCCATGTGGACAACATTCCAATCTGCCAAGGTATGTGTCCAAAAGGTACAGGGGGACCTGTTCCCAGAGCCTGCAGGGACAGAGGCGCAGGGCAGGGACACCGTAGGACAGCCTGGGCTGCACAGGGCACAGGCATGGGCAGCAGCTGCAAGACAGCCCTGCCAGAGCCAACTGGGGCAGCACTTTGGCCATGGCTGCTGGGCCTGGGCCTGAGGCAGGAGCAGGAGACAAGTGACCCTTGCAGGCCTGGGGCCTCATGGCCTCCTTGTCCCTGCTCAGCAGCCTGGCAGGGGCCGCCCCATGCTCCTGCCCTTGGCATTGCACATCCCCACATGCCAGTGCCCATCCCAGCAAGAGCCCTGAGCAAGGAGGGAGGGACAGCATCTGCCTCGCCAGGCCCTGGGGCTCAGGCCTTGGCCCTTGGCATTCCTCAAACACATCCAGCTTTGCTCAGCACCAGAGACACCTTGGCCTTGTTTGTCCCCAGCTGTCATCACTGCCTCCAGTGTTCTGCTCTAACTGGAACCTGGGGACACTTGCTCAGTTGTGTTCCTCAGTGGGACCCATTAAAACTTCAAGAAACTTCAGAGTTTCAATTTAATTTTGAGTTGTTGAGAAGTTTTTGAAGACAATCTAAGGGACTGATTTTGATGTAAACAACACCAAATCCCCAAGAGACTCATTAAAGTCCTTGTGCTGTGTCTGTGCTGCTGAGCTTTAAAGGAACAGCTCTTCCCAGGGCCAGCTCCTCTCCCAGCCCAGCAGGGCTGAGGGCTCTGCCTGCAGGCACTGAGGGGACAGGAGCCAGGCAGAGACAGGCTGAAGGCAACCAGGATTGGGAAGACATTGAGCTGAGACTTCAGCTGGGGAAAGATCTTCACAGCCCTGTGCATGGTGAGTGTGTGGGTGCAGGGCAATGTCCCCTGTGCTCCTGGAGGGATCTCCTGAAGCCAGCACACCCCAGAGCCTGGGGGATGTGTCAGGAGGACTCTCCCAGTTTCTCTGTGGCACAGGAGGAGCAGGAGGAGGAGGAGGAGGAGGAGGATGTGGTGCAGAGCAGGGCTCCCTTTCTGAGGGGACTTGTCATGAGCTCATTCAGGGCAGGACTTTCTTCTTGGGTCTCTGCTTTCCTGAATCTGTGCTCCCACTTTTCCCTGGCTCAGCTGGGTGGCAATGGAATTTCAGCTGTGCAGGGCAGAGCAGGGGCTGAGACTCTTAAACCATCACCCTGAGGATTCCAGGGCACCTCAGCAAGTGCCTGCACCTGCCCAGCCTCCAGATCCATGCAGCATCACCTTTCCATGGTGCCCAGGCTGGGGGAGCTGTTCTTTAATCCCTGCAGGGTCGAGCAGCTGCAGGGCAGGGCTGGCCCAGGGGCTGGGCTGGGCTCTGGCAGCTCTGGCAGGGAAGGAGCCCAGGGCCACAGGAGCAGCTGGGGCTGGGACAGCTCCAGCAGCAGAGCCGTGGGCAGGGAGGGAGGGAGGCAGTGCTGAGGGCAGCCCTGCTGCAGGGCAGATGTGGCACCTGCCGGGCCTGCCCTGCAGGGCAGACACTGCCCTGAGCAGCACAGCTCTTGTGTCCCCTCGCAGCCAGCACAGCCCTCAGCCCGGGGGCTCAGGGCCCTCAGTCCCTCCTGGGCCGGCAGAGCAGCCCCAGAGATGAAGGGCATCTCTCCGGCCATGTGCCCATTCATTCCCTGCTGACCAGGGCCTGAGGGCCACTGTCCTGCCCTGCTGCTGCCTGGCAGGGGCTGGGCAGGGCTGGGCAGGGAAAGGCTTTTCCTCAGGCCTGGCTCTCTCTCTCTCCCCTTGCCTTGTCCAGGTGCTGCTGGCATTGCTGAGGGGCTCTCTGGAATGGCAGTTCCAGCTGCAGGGCCAGGCCCAGCCCTTGGGCTCCTCCTGTGCAGGCTGAGCACAGCAATGGGGTGTCCCAGCTCCCTGTGCCCGGGGAGCTCTGGGCAGGGCAGCCTGGGAGGCTGGCAATGAGCCCACTCTCCTGACTCTGGGAAAGGCAGGAGCCACTTTGTGTGCCAGGGATCCCTCTGCTCTCTGCAGTGTCTCCTGGCTGTCCAGGGTAACACGGGAGTGGATCTCAGAAAGGTGCAAGTCCAGGGCAGCTGGAAGAGGAGAGAGGGATAGAGCAGCTCCCCTCAGTCTGCACTAAGCCTCAGACAATCCTGCTGCCTCTCTGGACAATCTGTTCTCCCCAGGTGCAGCAGAATCTCTCGTTTTGCCTCTTGCAATCCCCAGCCCTTCACCCAGGCAGCTCCTCTGCTTTAGGAGAACATATTTTATTCAAGTCCCAATACCAGGACTGGCCCCTGCCCTCACTTTTCCCCTGCACTGATTGGGGGTCAGGGCTGACTCCCAGGTGTCCTGCAGCTGAAGGTCCAGCTCCTGACACAGCATTGGCCAGCAGCAATCCGGGCTTCCGCAGCAAAGGTGAAGGAAGATCTCTGAGACATAGACATGGGGAGGTGTTTATTGTCAGGAAAGGGCCTATGAGAAAGGGCTTTGATAATTCTGTGAGAAATCTCCCCTCCATTGCCCTGTCTTTCCTCCTTCTGCAGGTTGAAATGCCCAGACACAGCAAATGTCCAACAGCAGCTCCATCAGGCACTTCCTCCTGCTGGCATTGGCAGACACGCGGCAGCTGCAGCTCCTGCACTTCTGCCTCTTGCTGGGCATCTCCCTGGCTGCCCTCCTGGGCAACGGCCTCATCATCAGCGCCGTAGCCTGCGGCCACCACCTGCACACGCCCATGTTCTTCTTCCTGCTCAACCTGGCCCTCAGCGACCTGGGCTCCATCTGCACCACTGTCCCCAAAGCCATGCACAATTCCCTCTGGGACACCAGGAACATCTCCTACTCAGCATGTGCTGCACAGCTCTTTCTGTTTGTCTTTTTCATGTCAGCAGAGGTTTCCCTCCTGACCATCATGTGCTACGACCGCTACGTGTCCATCTGCAAACCCCTGCACTATGGGACCCTCCTGGGCAGCAGAGCTTGTGCCCACATGGCAGCAGCTGCCTGGGCCAGTGCCTTTCTCACTGCTCTGCTGCACACAGCCAATGCATTTTCCCTGCCCCTGTGCCATGGCAATGTCCTGGGCCAGTTCTTCTGTGAAATCCCACACATCCTCAAGCTCTCCTGCTCCAAATCCTACCTCAGGAAACTTGGGGTCATTGTGGTTACTGCCAGTTTGTCATTTTGTTGTTTTGTGTTCACTGTTTTCTCCTATGTGCAGATCTTCAGGGCTGTGCTGAGGATCCCCTCTGAGCAGGGACGGCACAAAGCCTTTTCCACCTGCCTCCCTCACCTGGCCGTGGTCTCCCTGTTTTTCAGTACTGGGTTTTTTTCCTACTTGAAACCCTCCTCCATCTCCTCCCCATCCCTGGATCTGGCAGTGTCAGTTCTGTACTCAGTGGTGCCTCCAGCCCTGAACCCCCTCATCTACAGCCTGAGGAACCAGGAGCTCAAGGCTGCAGTGTGGAGACTGATGAGTGGATGGTTTCAGAAACATTTAAACTGCTGACATTTCTGTAAATCACTTGTAATATGGGCCATCTTTAATAGTTCTTGTTCATTTGGTCATGGCATTCTTTTCCCTTTGTTATCTTTTTTTTAATATTTTCCACAAAAAAGTCCTTGTTTCTGCTGTTTCTAACTTTGCTTCTCTCCACCTTTTCTTTGGCCCCAAACTGTGTCAATGAGAGGCTTTGCTCTCAGTGGCTTTAAATGAACTAAAGGATCTCCCAGCAAACTTTCGATTGAGATCCCCCTTTTGTTCCCTTCTCTGGAGCTACAGCAGCAATGTCTGTGTGCAGAGCTGGGGCAGATCAGGACTGGTCTTGCTGGCCACACCATTCCTGATCCAGGCCAGGAGCCATTGGCCTTCTTGCCCACCTGGGCACACTGCTGCTTCATGTCCAGCCTGCTGTCCATCAGTGCCCCCAGGTCCCTTTCTGCCTGGCCGCTCTCCAGCCCCTCTGTCCCCAGCCTGTAGCGCTGCAGGGGTTGTTGTGGCCAAAGTGCAGGAGCCAGCACTTGGTCTTGTTCAACCTCACCTTGCTGGATTTGGGCCCTGGATCCAGCCTGTCCAGGTCCCTCTGCAGAGCCTTCCTACCCTCCAGCAGGTCATTACTCCCAGCCAACTTGGTGTCACCACGTTTCCATGAGAGTCACAATGGTGTCCATGATTCAATGAGGCCTCTCATTGAATGTCACAACGTCCCTTTAGTTTCATGGGACCACTTTGGTGTCACAAAGTCCCTTTGATCCTTTGGCCCTTCATTTTCACGATGTTCATTAGTTCCCCAAGGTCCCACAAGGTCGCACAGTGCAGCAACGGTCCCCTTAGTTCCATAGTGTCCCAATGGCCTCTTGGTCCCAAGGGGCACCACAATGTCAAAATTATGTCCTTCTTTCTGAGTCCCTGAGGAGCAATATTGAGCCCGTGATTCTATGGGGCGCTGCAGCATCACAATGGCCCCATCATTGCACAAGGTCCGGCAGTGTCACAATGGCCTCCATGGTTTCAGAAGGCCACACAGTATCACAGTGGTCCCTTGGTTCCATGAGGCCCCAGAGACCCCCAATGGATTCCCTGGTGGTGCAGTGTCACAATGGAGCCCTGCTTACACAAGATCCTGCAGTGTCATGAGGGACTCTTGCTTCAACAGGACACCAGAGTGTCACAACTGTTCCCTTATGTGCTGGTTTTGCATGAATTGACATTTGGTGAGAAGTGTAGCATTGTATGTTTTATATATGGGTTTATTGTAATGTTGGTTAATTTTATAAGTTAAGAATTTGGTTTGACCCTCGGTTCCCCCCATGCTCTCCCTTGTAATGGTTCGTTCCTTCTGCCTGTTACCTGTCAATCATTGTAACCGTCCCCTTTCAGGTCGAGAATTTTCTATGTCAATCATCCCTCACCTAACATATGATTTGTCCCCTGAGCCTTTTCCCTCCCCTGGGCCCTTCCTATTGGTTCAGTGTGTCCCTCGCGCCCCCCTCCTGGGTTCTGTTCGTTGGTCCCTCGTGTCCCTGTCCGTTACACCTTTCCCCTTTATAAGTGCCTCCCTAACAGTTCTTACCCGACACCGTCACTGGGCCCACCTGGGTCAAATAAAGCACCTTGGCATCCAAACACGTGTCCACTCCTTCCTTCCTTTGCCTCAGCGCTTCGCAGTCCTGCTCTCGCCTGCGTCACCACGCAGCAGACGGAGCCACTGCTCGGGGGTTCTCGCCGAGAACCTGGGAGTGGCGGGATTCGTAGGCTCCACCGGTCACTCCGGGAGTGGCTAGCCGGACCCGTCAGCTCCAGTGGCCGCAGAAGCGAGACTGCAGAGAAGAAGCTGCCCATGAAAATTATTATTCTGAAAAGAGCTGCTGAGAGCTTCCTCTGTGCCTAACAGCACCAATCAGTGACTGGTTTTGAAGACTGACACCTTGTTAAACCACTCAAAAGCTGAACACGCCTCTGTGAACACACATGTGGAAAGATGAACAAACCCGGGGAAAAGCTCTCTCTTCCTTCCATCCTGGGAACAGGTAACAAGGCCGGCCTGGCTCCTGTCTCAGCTAGGCCAGGCCAGGTGGACCCTGCAGTGGGGCCGGGCCCCTCCTCGGGGACCCTGCCAAGCCCTGTCCCAGCAGAGCCGGGCACCAGCAGCTGCCAGGCAGGGGGAGGAGAGGCCATCAGCCCCTGGCGTGTTCCAGCTGAGATCTCAGCCATTTCCCCCCAGTGTGGCCGCTGCACGAGATCGTGTGGCTGAGGCCAGAGGCGGCCTTGTAGCCCACACAGAGAGTGGCCCTGAGCCTGGAATTGAGCGCAGCAGGGGCCAGAGACTGGCCATGGGGCTGATCCTGACACACCAGGGCAGCCTGAAAAATCCATCACCGCGATTGCTTCAGCTGCCACACAGCAGGAAGCACATGACCATCTGCAGGGCCCAGCTGAGATATTAACTCTTTCAGTGCATAGATAGGGCTTACAGACCTTCAGTCCTGCCTCGGTGAGAGAAAAGCACAGAGTGAAGACACCTAGAGAACAACATAATACATGAAGGTCAGTAAGAAGATATCAAGTCCCAGATGGGAGGGTTGAGGAGATGCCTCAGTCCTGGGCTGAAATCCTCTTGTAAGGCTACGGAGAAAATATAATTGATACATCAGACTCTTTTTTTCCCTGAAACTCATTGAAAGTATGGCGGGATGGAAGTGTTCAAATTGTAGATGTGAGCAAAGGAATTTCTGCTAAAGCAAACAGATGTTGAAGTAGTTGTGATCCCATGAGAAGCTTGAACAGAGAGAGGGAGAAATGTGATGAAGACCCCTTGCCCCCAGGGAAAGAAGAAGGCCTCTGTTCCCAGAGATGAAGATGATAGCAGAGACAGATAAAGAGAACCTTTGCTCTTGAACAGCTCAACCTTTAAATAATGCGCCATAAGTTGACATAGCCCACAAACACAGCCATGGGAAGGCTGTGAAAAGATGGTAGGGACTTCAAAATTGCAGAGTCCTGGGCAGCTGCTACTCATGGAAATTAAAAGCCATGAGAGAACTGTTTTCTTTTGGAGAAGTCTCTATAAAATGGCAAGAAGGGCTCCTCTCCCTAACTGAACTGAAGAAAGACTGTTCTAGAGGTGATGAACTTACTGAATTGTTTTTGTACATTGTTAGTGGGAAAGAAAAGGTTGTAGGAGTGAGAAGAAATGTTTTAGAAGTTTTATTCTGTTTGAATTTTTTTTTCTTTTAAATGTTTTTCTTTCAACTGTTAATAAAGTTTTCTTTATACCCTTTTAAATTCTAAGCCTGCTTTGCCTTCCTCCTAATCCTGTCTCACAGCAGAAAATAAGTATATTCTAGTGGGGGCACTGGCATTTAGCCAGCGCTGAACCCAACACACCTTGGTTCCACCAGTTCCTGCAGTGTCACAAGGGACCCTTGGTTCCATGGGGCACCAGCATGTCACAATTGTTCCCTTAGTTCCACCAGCCCCTGCAGTGTCACAATGGCCCCTTGGTTCCACTGGGCCCCAGGGTCTCACAAGGGTCTCCTTGCTTCCATAGTGTCTCAATGGCCCCTCGGTTCAATAAGGCCCTGCAGAGTCACAGTGGCCTCCATGGTTCCACGAGGACCCAGAGTATCCCTCTGGACTCCTTGCTTCCATTCAGCCCCACAGTGTCACAATGGGGCCTTGGTTCTATGGTGCCTTCAGTACCCAGTTTCACTGCGATCCTCTTAGTTCCACGGGGCCCTGCAGTGTCACAATGGCCCCTTGCTTCCCCAGGGCCCTGCAGTGTCACAATCATCACAGAATCACAGAATTAATCAGGTTGGAAAAGACCTTCGAGATCAGCAACTACAACCTGTGAACCAACACCACCTTGTCACCCAGACCATGGCACCAAGTGCCACATCCAGTCTTTGCTTAAACATCTCCAGAGATGGTGACTCCACCACCTCCCTGGGCAGCCCCTTCCTATGCCCAGTGACCTTTCTGTGAAGAATCTTTTCCAAATGACCAGCCTAAATCTCCCCTGGTGCAGCTTAAGGCTGTGTCCTCTTGTCCTGTCACTGTTCCCTGGGAGAAGAGCCCGAACCCTCCTGGCTGCACCCTCCTGTCAGGGAGTTGCAGAGAGTGATGAGGTCTCCACTGAGCCTCCTCTTCTCCAGGATACACAACCCCAGCTCCCTCAGACACTCCTCATAGGACTTGTGTTCCAGACCCCTCACCGGCCCTGTTGCCCTTCTCTGGACACGCTCCAGCCCCTCCATGGCCTTCCTAAATTGGGACCCAGAACTGGACACAGCACTCGAGGTGTGGCCTCACCAGTGCAGAGTGCAGGGGAAGAATCCCTGCCCTGCTCCTGCTGGCCACACCATTCCTGATCCATAGGATTCCCAGGTGTTGGATGGGGGAAATGGTGGGGTGGAGGTAGGGACAAAGTGTTAATGATTGTCAGCCATGAAGGGGCTTGATTTTTATAGCTATTGGGAATGCATCAGGAGGTGCTGGGGATCAATATCAACTGGGGATTGCTGATGTCAATCTATAAACAAGGAAAGAAAACAGGACAAAACAATTCTGCCTGCATTGTTTTCAACATAGTAGATTCACTTTGAAAAAACTTCTGAAATCTGTCTAATTAACCACAGAATAATTCAAGACTTGAATTATTCCCATGGGCTTTGTCTTGTTTGGGTGTTTTGAACAAATGTTTATGAGCCTTTGTCACTGAATTCCTGAACTGCAGAGCTCAAGAAAGAAGAGGCCTCTGGAAAAGTAAAGTTCATCACCAACCTCCAAGGTGCTGAGGATCCATCCTGATGAGAGCAGCAATGAACAGAAATGGGCAGAGCTTTGTGGCTGCCCCAGCTTTGGGATGGGCCCTGGGCCTGGAGCAGGAGCAGCTCTTGAGGGCCCCAAGGCCGGGGCTCTGGTGCTGCCCTGGGCAGATGGGATGGCAGCAGGGGCTGCAGAGCTCTCAGCATCTCCTGCAGAGGAGAGCAGGGCACCCAGGGAGCCTCCTTTCCCTTGGCCAGGCACCTTCCCCCATGGTGGGGCTGAGTCCTGTGGCAGCTGCAGCTGCTGCTGTGCCCTTGGCAGGGGCTGAGGCCGTGGGGCAGTGCCCAGAGCAGCCTGGCCTGAGCAGAGCTGTGGGGCCAGAGCCGGCTGGGCTGGGCTGGGCTCAGAGAGGCCCTTGGTGCTGCCCAGAGCTCAGGGCAGCTGGCAGAGCTTGCAGGGAGCTGGGCTGGGCTCAGAGAGCCCGGCCCAGAAACCATCAGTGTCCATCTCAGCCTGGCTGAGCGTGCAGGGGCCAAGAAGAGCAGCCCAGGCTCTGCAAGTTCTCTGGGTGGGAGCTGAGCTTGTGAGCCCCTGAGCCCTGCCCAGTGCTGGGGCTGCACCTCCAGCTCCAGAGGAGATGGGACAGGTGGGAGCAGAGACAAATCATTCCTGCTGCATTCTTTCTTGTGTTTGCCTTTACAGGTGACCTGGATCCATATGTAGAGGATGTGGTTTTTTCAGATAATACTCATAGATAGATAAGAATAATACTTTTTAACTGGAAATAATATTTGATGCATAAAACACAATGAGAAAAAAAAAAAAAAAGACACATATGATCAGAAAAGCATCTGAGTTTTTCAGAGGAGGAGAGACTCATTGATGTTCCAGTGGTCAAACCTGTTCAAATACTTTCCTCAGGGCTTTCTTGAGATGAGAAGTGACCACCAGAGGCCAAGGCCAGCCAGAGCTCTCTGTCTGGGCAGTTTTTGTCTGGGAGAATCTTGCATATAGAGGATTTTTCAGGGGGAGTATCAATTTTGGCCATGGGCACCTGGGAAGACAGATGGTTCTTTTCCACAGGTAGGAAAGCCCAGAGCCCCAGTGTTTCAGGGGACCATGAACAGACCCTCAACATTCTGAGGTGAGTTGAGCCCAGTCAGGCCAAGCCAACCAGACCTGTTACCTCTTCCCTTGGATTCACAGGGCCCCTCAGGGTCCCAGTGCTGGTGTCATTTTGGATCCTTGGTTCCATGAGGCCCCGCTGTGTCACACTGGCCCCTTGCTTCCCATGGGGCCTTGAAGTGTCAAAACAGTTTCCTTGGTTCCATGGAGCTGCACAGTGGCACAATGGCCTCCTTGGTTTCATGAGGCTGCAGAGTGTCACAATGGCCTCTTGGTTCTTTTGGGTTCCTCAGGATTCCAGTGGCCCCTTGGCTGCATGAGGCCCAGCTGTGTCACAGTGGCCCCTTGCTTCCATTGGGCCCTGTAGCATCACAATTGGCCCCCCTTGCTTCCATGAGGCCCAGCAGTGTCACAGTGCCCCCCTTGGTACTGCTGTATCACAATGGAGCCTTGTTCAATGAAGCCCTGCCATGTCAAAATGGTGTCCTGTATTTCATGGGGTGTCACAACCTCACAATGGACCTTTGGTTCCATGAGTCCCACATTGTTCCAAAAATCCTTAGTTTCATGTGGCCCTTTAGGGTCACAATGGTCCCTTGGTTCCATGGTGCCACACAGTGCCAAAATTGCCCTTTGGCCCAACAGGGCCTCATAGTGTCACAATGGACTCCTTGATTCCATGGAGACACAAAGTGCCACAATGGCCCTTTGGTTTCATAAGGCCTCAAAGTGTAGAAACGGCCTCCATGGTTCTATGTGGCCGTCCTGTGTCACAATGGACCTGTGGTTCCATGATGCCCCATAGTGTCACAGTGATCTCCTTGATTCTACACTTTAAGAATGCCCCCTTGGTCCCATGGAGCCCCACAGTGTCACTATTGCGTCCTTG